GGGTCAGGTTGGGGGTGGGGGAATGAAAACAACACTGCCCTTGGGGACAGAGCAGGAAATTGTATTGGGCGTGAACTAGTGGAGACCTCCTGCTGGAGCTGACAGGACTGCTGAGAAAGCCTTATTACCCCTGATGGACATGGGCATGCCCAAGTCTAACTCTGACCAGAACAAAAGAAAAACTCTCTGGGCCCTCCAGCCTGCAGAGTAGCAACTCATAATAATTTACATGATGAGTTCCTTACTTAGGTGCAGATTTACAGGGAATATCTAACTCAGGATAGAAGAGAACCATTGAGAAATGCGGCAAGAAAAGTGCTGAACTAACCCAAAAAAGAAATAAAGCACAAATTACCAGTATAAAGAATGAAACATCACTCCAACCGACAAGGAAATTAAGATTATAAAGTGATGCTTTGAATAATATTATAGTAGTGTAGATCTAATGGTAAGGAGTTGCACTGGCAACCCAAAAGTATGCAATGTTCAGATCCACCAGCTGCTGCACAGGAAAGTTGGGCAGTCTTGGCCTGTGTGATTAACTGCCTCTGAAAACTTGCTGAAGGGTCAGCTGTTGGTCAATTCCAGCTTGACTGTACACAACAACAACGGCTTGTCATGAGGACATAGAAGCCAAACCAAAGACTTCACCTGGCCAAGTGTGGGACTATAATCCAATAGCAAATTTATAAGTCATTGGAAACTAAAAATGAATCTATGATTTTGTATGAATAATGAATAGGATAGTTAGCTAATGGCTTCCTTATAGTAAAATGGCTAATGCTATTTGATGAATGTGTAGGGAGTATTGGAATTGGAATTCTTTTGCCATTATATGAAGACTGTGTCATGCAGAAGTCACCATTCAGTGCTAAAGATAAATTTAGATTAGGTGAGCTCTGTTGGCCTAGTGGCAAAGAAAGTACTGCAAGTGAGCAGTTCAAATCCACCAGATGCTCTGCTGGAGAAGGAGGGACAATCTCTTCCTGTACCAGTCACATCCAGTTTGACAGTTTACACATACACAAAGATAAATTTAGATTATAAGCAGAATATAAGCATGGTTTTAAAGAGGGACACCACTATTTTTAGATGTGATACACTTAGAAAAGCATAATACTTGTCACCTGCTATTGAGACTAGTAGTATATAACCAGAGCACCCTCTAAAGCGTTTGAGCACACCATGGTCTCAGGATTACTCTTCGTCAGTGACTTCCATAATTTATGTTGAGGTTTTTGAGGTTTCTTCAAATATTTAATTTTCCTCTAGCTGAGCCTAACTAAAGATCAGTTAGTTTTATTCCAGAGCCCAACTTTATAACCACTGGGCTATATATATTTCCTTTTAATTAATAAAAAAACCACAAACTAAACCTCAAAGGATGTGAATATTTATGGGGAGATGATGGCATTATATCATTTAAGGCTTTGAACTTGTTAAAACCAATGGGAAAAAACATGACCTCTCACGTGACCCTTTTCTATGTTTGGAATTTACTCTTTTACTTTTTATTTGCAAATTATTTTTATTTCTTTGTTTATTTTCATTTCACACTTGATTTAACTGTAAGAATAAGAAGAGTATAAATATTTACTTATATTTAACATGTTACCCTATCAGCTGATTAGGATATTTTTAAAATTGTTTTTCCTTTATGCCATATAGAAAGAAGAATTTTGTTTTTATTTTTTCCTTTTATTCACATACTATTATGTTCTAAAGAATCTTTAAAATTGGGAAAAGTGCACATATTTGTGGGGTTTTTATCCAAGGTTTGATGCTAATTTTATTTTTTATTATTATTATTAAATTTTATTAGTTTTAATGAACATTTTACAGAGATTTTGGGTTTTCATTCCTTCATTGTTGCACTGTTTTCTCTACCCTCCTCCCCAGTTCGTTCTTCTCCCCCACCAATGTCTGTTTTAATTGTCCAATTGCCACAGTGCTTGTCAAAGCCAGTTCTGATTAATCTCCTTTGTCTGTGTGTCCTTTGCCATTCCCTATCACTCCTCCCTGAAAGAGACTTCACCCTGATTCATAAGGAAAAGGGGATGACGTATTCTCTTAGCTACTTCCTGCTGAAAAGGGACGCTGTGGGTTTCAGGGTGAAGATCTTCTCTCACTACTCTAAAGGGCCCCTTTGGCAGTAGGAAACAGATAGACTATTATGGAGATTGATTTTGGAATTTAGATGCACTGTTATTAATTGTACTTAGTCGTACATGTTCATATCCTTGAAGATGTATCATGGAGATGTTGCAACCTAGAAGACACAAATGTAACTAACAAGTTAAAAGTACATGAGTCAAAAATTAACAAGTAATAATATTCCGAGTAGAGGTTCTAGTAGTGTCACAAATCAAGGTGGTTCTTACAATAAAAGGCCTATAGACTAGCACTTTGTCTATTATAGTATACAGGTTAGGAACCACAAGATGTAGAGGCTCAGCTATGTCATTTATGCTTCTTAAGTCCTGGAGCAAATTCTATCTACCACTGGGCTGTTTTACAACTCGGAAGTTCACATGCAAGGTAGAGGTGAAGTAAGGAACTGCTTATGAGGTTTTCCGTCCATTCCAACAACTAAGAGATAGTGAGAAGAGTTGGGACCTCAGAAGGCTTTTAGGACCAATTAGTAGGCTCTGTGTCCAGGAGTAATGCTCATCTACAGCTCTTCTGAGAGAATCTAAATCGTTGAAGCATCCTCCTTTGTTTCCAGCTGGGAGCTGGGGCCTTTCAGTCCTGTCTGCCACGAGGACCTGATGTAGGCCACTTTGGCCCAAGTGTCCTTCAGAGCCACACTTAAAGCAAGTGAGTGGGAGCTTCCTCTCTACTCCCTTGCCTATCTGTGGCTCTTGTCTGTGACACTGTCTACTGAAGCGGCCCAGCTTTCCACAGTGGAAGCCATTCTGACCTCCTTTATTACCTTTGGGTGGCACTGTATATTAGTAAGACTTCCTTTTCCTAACACAGGCCCTAAAGTGGCAGCAATAGCTGCCCCAATTATTTTGGCCATTCTCTGGTCTTTTCTCTTCCCTCTAGATCCCAGTTGTTAAAAGAGGGAAAAATTTAAACAAATATATAACAAATAATTTTGAACAGTATAATCTTTTAAGCTTACGGCTAGAAGTATTAACTATCATCATTTACATATTTGTGTTTTGAAGCTCATACCTACCTTGAATCCTATTTGTGGTTTATCAGAACTATTAGAGCAGGAACAGAGAAGGATATTGTGAATTTCTGTAGTGATAGAAGAATTTATGTGTGTTCTGGTCAAAATAGTTAGGTTTGATCAGTTAATATACTTTCTGTCCCTGCTTGTAGGAGGTATCTAAAAGAAGAGTCTAGGATACTTTTGTTATTTCTCACAATTTCTTTATAAGCTCTGAAACATAAAGTATTAGAATCTAAACTCTTTCTGTGCTTAAAAATTTGAAGTTACAATTTGGCCTAGACTGTCAAGAATGTAATTCCTACTCTAAGAAAGTATTAGATTCTGTGTATTAGAGTAGAAAAATGTAAAAGGATTTTTTTACCAAAGAAGTTCTAAAATCTTGATAATAACATAAATATAAATTATTGCAATGTTAACCAACAGAAGGAAATGAAATATTCTAGGATGTGATTGATACGTGGAGACAGCATACAGGAACAGTGTATAATATTCACATAATTCACTTCCATGGAGTTGAATTATTAAATATTCTAAGAAGAACCATCAGAGGCATTTCTGGTCATGTACTGCGCAGTGTGTTTTGCTATCTGACCAAAGGCTGTGCACCTCCAGCAGTTCAACTCCACCAATAGCTCTACAGGGGAAGATGAGTAGTCTCCTCTGAAACTTGAGGGAAGGTCTCTCTGAATCAGAGCTGACCTCATAGCAGTGATTGAATTCTATCTAGCATCATGTGAGAGGACCTGGACATAATATAGAAAAGTTAGAAGGCACATTTGCTATATACAGTCTAATAAAAAGCAGTAATTGTGAATGAGATGCTTGATGCCCTCTGCTGCTAACAGAAAGGCTGGAAGTTTGAGTCCACCCTGAGACATCTTGGTAGAAAAGGCTGGCAGTCTGCTTCTGAAAATCAGCTGTTGGGACCCCTGCAGAGCACAATTCTGCTCTGACATGCTTGAGTCATCATGAGTTAGAATGACCAACTCATAGGCAGCCCATTTACTAGTAGTCTCATAAACATGCAGGTAATCTCTCCTGCTCTACTCTTTTACATTCATTCATATGGCTCTGGTGGCTGAGTGGTAAAGAGTTGTGCTGCTGACACAAATCCTGCAGTTCGAAGCCACCAGTTGCTTCCTGGGCACTTTCCTCCCGTTTGATTTATAGCCTCTGAAGAGCTAGAAGTCAGTTATGAGACAGTAACTAATAGTAACAAGGTGATTGTAGACGATCATTTGTAGTCAAAGGAAATTTATTTTTAAAAATAAAGTTATCACAATAAGACATTGTGATTGTAATTAGACATTAAAATTAATTATACCAGCCAATGGCAGTTACTATTATAAAAAAGAATATTAATGGATTACTGTATGAAAAAGCCAATTTGATTTGTAAATTTTGACTCAAAAAAAAATAAAATTAAGTTGTTGGATTTTAGAAATCTCACCAAGATATTTTTTCGTCAGCAATACGAAAATTTAGAAACAGAGAGACTTAGACTCCTGCTAGAGACAAAGTCCTGGCAAATTGCTTCTGTAAAGATTACAGAAAACTTGTGGAGAAGTTCTCTGTGCAGGCTGGTGTGAGTCTAGGACTGACTTGATAACAGCTCACAACAGGGACTAGATTTACGTGAGAATTGAACCAGCAGGGAAATAATGTCCATTAATTTCTCTGATAGACTTCTCTATCCTTGTAACTCTACTTGTTTTCATCTCACACTAAGGGGATTGGGCCTTGCCTGTTTGGTTGAGCATTCAGTCGTGTCTGCAAAACTAACTCTTGAATTATTTCCTTCATATTTTCTCTTTAGGAAGTGCATTTTCAACTGAACACCTCAAGCTTCAACTCCAAAAGGAATCCCTAAATGAACTGAGGAAAGAATGTACAGCACAAAGGTATGTACAAAGCTCAGAAGAATTACTATGGGGATAAGATTAGAAAAGTAGCATTCGTTCAAAGCCACTGGTTCTTATCTTCCACATACCTCAGTTTCACATTTTTTTTACTCAACAAATACTGAGTCAGTACCTGCAGTGTGCTGAGGGGTGCAAGTAATTAATGTGCTCAATTGGCAGCTAACCTAAAGGCTCCTTGCAGCAAAGACATGATGTGCTGAAAAACCAGCCATTGAAAAACCTGACGAGATGGTAGCTGGTTTCTGTGTTTTTTATTGTATCGGATGCCAGTTCTGAGAGGTTCCTGCATGTAGTCAGAGGCAGAAACTTTAATCTGTTCTTCCAGTATCCTCAGCTTCAGCTCTGCCTTAATAGTGAATTTTCCTCTTCTCTCCTATGTATAGTTTAGCTTACAGTTTTTTGACAAATTTATTTTTCCTTCTTTTTAAGCTCATTTGAGTTACTTTAATAGATTATTTTTCTAATATCAGTTTCCCCATTTCTAGTTCTTCCATATTGCCATCACATTTCTCCACTTAAAAGACCATTTTCTTATGTCCTTTGTCTGCTTAAATGATAGTACTTTAGCTTAATTTTCAACTACTCTGTAACTGTGGCATAATCCTCCACTTTTCATTTAGCAAATGACAGCAGTTTTCCTTTTAAAATAGCACATTCTGGATATTTTTGGTGGTGGTTTTGCCTCTTCTGTGCTTTTGTCCATCTTTACATTTCTGGAAAGTCATTCCATCCTGCATTTTTCTTCAAGAAATCTGAGCCACTGAGAATTCAGTACCATTCAGCCTGTGAAGATTTATAGAGATCATCTCCTCTAATCCTCTAAATTTGCAGATAAGAAAGTCTGGCTCTGTCAGGTTACTGCTTGTTCATGTTATTCACAAAGTCAGGATTAGATGCCGTTTGTTTTCAGTGCTCTTTTTAGTATACTACATCTTTCCCACTTCTTAAAGTTTTATTTTTACCCTTAAATTGTTAACACAATTGAGAAAATAAATTCTTCTATGGATAGTTAGTCTGGCAAGTTTCTTAAATAGTTCACTATAGGTGTGGGATCATCTGATTGCATAATTTTATGTTCTTTTAAATTTATGAACGTAAAGAAAACATGACAGCAGGTAATTGTGAGTGACAGGTTACTGTTTTGAGGAACTACAATATGAATATTTTCTGAAATGAAATTTACCTGACAAGAAGCTGCAATGCAATTCTGAAGGCACCGGGTTCGAATACACCAGATGCTCCGTAGGAGAAGGATGGGTAGTATCCTTTCGTGCAATTAACGGCCTCTGGAAGTCTGCCCGAGGATCAGCTGTGGGTCAGTTCCAACTCGATCATAAACAACAACAACAAACATATTGCTTAGAGACCATGGTCAGCTTACTCAACCACACTAAATCTCAGTTCCTCAAAACATATAATTATTATAACAAACATAACCATTTGTAAAGCAATAGTAAAATATAACTAGGCATACAATGATTATTTGTAACCTCAATAATCCTCTAAGGAAACTCTGATAGCTTAGTGGTAAGAAATTGTGCTGCCATCTCAAAGGCAGTTGGTGCAAATCTATCAGCTGCTTGAGAGAGAGAGGAGCAGTCTCCTCCTCAGTCATTTACTGACTCTGAAAATCTCCTGGAAGGTCAGCTATTGGTCAGTCAGTTTCAGCTTCACAGTACACACAGTAACAACATATCCTCAATATCTGTTACTGGAAGAAGGTTGGGCACTCTCTTCCCATGCGACTCACTGTCTCTGAAAACCTGCTAGAGGGTCAGCTAAGAGTTGATTCTGACTTGCTGGTACTGTCCTTAGGGAGTTGTGCAGCTAACCCAGAGGTCACTGGTAGTTTGAATCCACCAGTGACTCCTCAGGAGAAAGATGAGCCATTTTTCATGCAATTTACAGCCTCTGAAATGTGTGCTCAACTGTTTGTTCCAGCTTGACAGCAGTGAAGGCCAGAGAGCTCTCTTACGGATATCTGACAGCTTAGTGTGTTAACTGTTGAGCTACTAACTCAGAGATCAGTGATTCAAATCTCCCGGCTGCTCTGAGAAAGACACTTCTTCCCATAAAGATGTACAGGCTTGGAAATCCATTGGAGGGTTTTCATGAGTCAAAATCAATAGCAGTGGATTTGGTTTGGGGAATATCTTTTAAGATGGCTCTTGGCTGACTGTTAGCTAGCTCCATTTGGAGACAGGTTAGGACTCATAGTATTTATGGCCCTTGAGTCCCTGGGACCCTTTGTAGATTTTATCTCTGGTGACTTAATGGTAATGAATAGTGCTGCCAAAGCAAAGGTGCATGGTTTGAATCCACCAGTTGCTCCATGGGAGAAGGATGAGCAGCCTCCTGCTGTGCATTTTCCTGCCTCTGAAGATCCCCTGGCGGGTTAGCTGTGCTTCTGACTTAAAGTATTCAACCGTCACGACAACGTGCTATATGGAAATGGATGTTAAAAACTAATGTCATGAAGCATGCATGTTTTTCCTTTACTTTTTAAAACAAATGTGCTTTTATCTTATTAGAGAACTTTTTTTGAAGACGAATGCTCAATTGACAATTCGATGCAAGCAACTACTATCTGAACTTTCCTACATTTACCCCATTGACTTGGTAAGTTTTAAATTTTCTGGAAAAAAAATCCTTTTGAAAAGGTGATCTCCATTTGAATTACCTTCCAATAAAAAAATTCCTTGCTTTACTCTAAATCAGAAACTCTGTCACTACCCAGAGCTGGTATCGTTTTTATAACTGGGTTCCTTTGGCCTTTGTGTGCAGAGTTGTTTTTTCTTTTTTTTCTCCAAATATGTTTGGTGGTGGTAATGGTTGTATGTACTTTTGCTCCTCTAAAAGAATGACAACGTAGTCATGGTTTCCTTAGGCTTTTTCCAGTCAAGTAAATTATCCACTGCCATCATTTGTGTCACTTGTAGACAAATATATGCAGTTTCATGTGTACTACTTTTATATAGTTATTAGCATTGCGGATGATAATCCTGGAACCACTCTCAAGATGTTAAGTTTTCAAATGCAGATTCTTCTTCCTGTTGTGTGCCCTTGAGTCAAGTATGATTCATAGGAACCCTGTGAACAAAAGATCTGAACTCTGCTCTGTCCTGTGCCATCCTCCTACTTTTTGACACACAAGAGCCTATTGCAACAATCATCCTTGTCAATCCACCTAGTAGAGGGTCTTTTTCTCCTTTGCTGACCCTCCACCCTTCCCAGCATCACGTTCCTCTCCAAGGAGTAGCTCCTTCTAGCAACATGTCCGAAATATATGAGGCGAAGCCGCATTCTTGCCTCCAAAGAGCACTCCGGTTGCACCCTCTCTAAGACTTATCTGTTTGTGCTCTTGTCCATCCATAGGATGTTCAGTGCTCCTCTCCAACCACATAGCTCAAAGACGTCAATTCTTCTATCATCACTATTCATTGTCCAGATCTCAGATGCATAGCATGTGATTGGAAAGACTTAGTAAATGTGAAAAGTATAACTTCAGTTTAACTAATAAGGAAATTTATCACATTTGATTGCTTCTCTTGCATTCTCTTTAATAAAAATAGATTTAAAAGGTTGAGTTTTGAAGAGTAAAATAAATAGGAATTGAGATTGTTCAGAGAATTTTTATTTTATTAATTTTAATGAACATTTACAGAACTTTCGGATTTCCTTTCATTCATTGTTGCATTTTTCTCC